ATCTTTGATTTTTATATAGTATAGCTTTTGTCCGCTACACCGTCCGGGTGTAATTAAAAGAACAAAAGCAAGTAGCCTATGTGGTTTTCCTGACTATCTCGTACGTCTATGCCAAATTTCACTGAGATCTGTTCAGCCGTTTAGGCTACAAACTCGCATAATCATCCTTCTATCCATCCATCTATCTAAACTTTCGCATTTATAATATAAGTAAAATAAGATGACAAATATCACTACCAGAATTCACCAAAATAGCAAAACCACATTCTATCCAATTCCACTTTCCCTTCCCATCCCTTCCATATTCGAAAAGGGTGGAAAGGGGATGAGGACTAATGTTATCAAGCAACTCGAGAATGACTAAACATACGCATAAAAAGACCAAATATATTACAATCTGGTGTAACTATATTTTTATTACACCTTATATTTTTATAACTATATTTTTGTTACACCTATCAGTCACGTGCTGCATCTAGTGTATAAAAACATCGCTACAATCGTTGCATTAACGATAATAATGCTAGTTCAACTATGGCTTAATAAGTGACGAACCATTCCAGTATTTGGTCCACAGTTGCCAAATTTGGAGACCAACTGATCAACCTTTTAGTTTGTCATAAAGATTGTTTTGATAGTCCCTATCAGTATTTACTTGTTGGGTCTGAAATGGTGATTGGGGCCATTTGACCAAACGTGAGTGTAACAGATCGATAATTTACCTTTACGCTCACCGTTTTATAACCTACAAATCTATATCAATAAGTTGGGTCACAATTGCAACACAATTTAACTCAATGGTTACAGAGGCTAGCAGTCTCTCTTTCATTCTTCTATTATAAACTGTGTTGCCTAGCAACCGTCATGTATCTAAACATTTTGACTTTTGCAAATATTTTGAGACGCGTTAATGTTTTTGTAATCACGGGCTTTATCTTGACATTTTGCCGCGCATTTAATTTTGACCGTTATTATGGCGCGTAATTAAATGTTACCACCTCATACGTGCGCGAATTCTTCCTGTCCTACGAAATTCAAAATACGAATCTTCTTGCTGTCCATATAAGGCAACACTGGTGACATTTCAAACTTTGCGCGGGAAACGATGATTCCTTTTAAACGTTGTAAATGTAAGGTTTTGCGCATTCTCAGTGTAATCTTATCTCAATTAATATTTCATTACTCGTAAAGGTTATAGCGTAAATGCCGAGACGTAAATTGTTTATAATTTATGAAATTATCTTGAGATTAAATAATTTAGTTATAATTTAAGGCTATAATAAAGTTTTATACCTTTAATCTTGTTATGGAAAAGGGAGATAGTAATCTCTCGGTCTTATCTTAACCCTTTATTTGCCAGAAAGTTTGAAAAATACTTGTGTTACTGAGTATATCGATTGATGATTACTACATAAAACTAGTATATATAGTTACAACTAAAACTCTAACATCAGTATTACATACAATTAACTGTCGTAACACATACTCTACATGCGGTTTTACTTTTAACAGCGCGCCATACGAGTATAGCGCTGGTCCCATTCAGCGACACTAGCGCCATATACAGAGCTAGACTAGACCAACTGTACTGTCCACTTTTTATATAATCCCTAAACAGATCGCCGTTGGATTCTCAAAATTAACAGCAACCGAGTAACTGTAATGATCTGTACTGGTATCTCAAAGGAGGTGAAATAATAAAAAAAGTAATTCGTATATCCAACTTATTAGACGCGGTGGGCAAAATTGAAACTAAATTATATTTGCTCATTAGCGCCATCTGTCAATAAAATTGACTACAAGACAGTGATTTTACTGTACCTCTGTTTCGTATCTTTTGTGTTATTGAGGGAGAGCAGTCCCACCTACCGCTGGGCAATGCCAATAGTTTCGCACAGTTTTGGACAATATAGTAGTATCACAATGCCCCTCTAGGTCAAATGTTACTCTGTAAATTTTAAATCGCTTCAAATAAATTATACGTGAATTTAGTCAGTAAAGTTTTAGTTACCATACTACTGTGTGTTACGCACCAATTCAGTAACAAAGTGGCAACATCCAAAGTCGATTAGCTGCGCGTGCGCAGACCGCCGCGCCGGCAAAGTGGAATGCGCTGTAACGCCGGCCCATATTGCCCTACGATTTATATTGACTGCCACACAATAGAAGCGTCAGATATCGACATGGTATATTTTACTCGATCTTTGTATAATGGTATGCGTTTGATACAATTTGATGAAAATATCATTGCTGATGGTATTTGAAAAAACAATTTTTTTTAAATAGTCTGAACTCATCAATGTAATGATTATTGTAATATTGTTTATTTGATGATGCAGGCATGGCCTTTTAACACAAGATCAAAAACAAGTTAGGTATCCGTCGTGGGAATAGTTAACCTTAGCAAAGCACTCTACGACCATGTCATAAACGTATCCATCTAACAATGTTACAATACCATCGGATATATTATGAATACCGTTTATGACAGACATAATAAACTAACAAACAAGAAAGTAAACATGACGAAACAAACACGCGAAGAATATTCTGTGATGTCCGGCGCGTTATTTAGACATGAACGTGCACAAAACGCGCATTGTTGTATGATTTACAACCGCGTGACAGTCAGCATTGTGTTGCTTCAAGTAGGTGAAACTGGTAAATGTTGCGACAAACTTCCTGAATCTTTTTGTCGCTCGGATTTAACTGCATTCCAAACATAACAAATATTTGGAACCGTAATATATTTTCACTGAAAACATGGCTTCGGATATGAATGGAAACGGTTAATATCCGGTCTACATTTAAAATAAAATAGACGTATTTCCTAAAGAAGAACGCCATTAGTCTTCTCTAGTTCGAAAGAGCAAACTTAAATTGAAAAATTAGGTTATGTCTTGTCGAATTGACTTTAATACAATGTTAATAATCTTACGTTAGGCATAATATGTTCTTTTTTAGGTTTATTCATGAGTAATTAAAGCGCAATGTATAAAAACAATAGGAAACAATGCGCTCCATAAATCTTAACCTCAAATGGGTAAATATTGATGTTTTACGCTATCGTTCGTTAAATTGTAAAACAGATAAATATAAATTGACTTTTATTGCTTTCAAGTACAAAAGGGCCGTATTTACGTAATCAGGTTGGTTACGTTAGCCTAATTCCGATACATTTGCGGCCAGCGGTCCAGTGCAAGCTATTCTAGTAACTGAAGTAGGTCATCTTCGTGTCAATTTGTATGGTTGAGCAACGAAGCTTTGATTTAGCAGTCAATTTTGTTTCTGACGGTACTCAAGTGTTAAGAAGAAAATTAGTACCGTGCTCTAGAATTGATGCAACACTAGATTGTCGGCATAAACGTCACGTCCCTAGCTGACAGCTGTCAATGTCATGAGAAGGGTTGGAATATTCGCGCGCATTCCTGACTTAGATCTTTAGTGCAGTGTTAAAATATCGCTAGTTAGGATTATATTAACTGTTTAAAATTAGGTATATACAAGTTAACGGATTTCGATGAAATTTGGTATAGATGTAGAGCATACTCTGGAAGAACACATAGGCTACTTTCTTTTGTTTATTTTTAAATTCCACGTGGATGGAGTCGCGGGCTAAAGTTAGTTACAAGATATTACAGTCGACGTTCTGTCGGCCATATAAAAATGTTGAACATAACAATAAATGTGTACTGTAGTCCCGTATTATGCATTTTTAATGGATTCCGTACACCAATGTATTGTATTTAGACAATAAAACCTTAGGAAGCAAAATGTATGGTTTTAAGATATATTTTATTATCTCAGTAAACTTTACGATTTCCTCTTATTTCACAAAGATCGTGTTAACTGATTCATACTGTGAGTCATACAAGGTGACTTACCTATATGAATATTACAACGTGTTTTGTAAGACAATTTCCGCGTCTAGAGTTAGGTATGTAATTGCCATAAGGTAAGCGTACCAGTAGTTGATAGGCTTTTGGATCTTACTAAAGATTTAAACATTGAGAATTAATCTGTGGTGAAAAATAAGCATCTCTGGAGTCTATGTTCAGACAATTCGATTTGAATCAAGGAATGGGTATTTGAGTAAACCGTAATCCACGGCTTCTTACCATTAGGTCACAAGTTTAGCTTGAAATGCAAGTGGCATTTGTAACCGCCCACTGCATACTTAGCTTGTTGACATTGTAAAAACCAATGTAAACAGTTAGTTGTGGATTTTGACTACCGTTCAACGCATGCCATGTAAACACAGGGCTTTATTGGGTTATGTTTACATGGGACTGATAAAAAAATACACAAAGTTTCTGAGGACTGATGATTGTTAAACAATATGTTATGTTCTTATAAAAAAACAAATCTTTGTGAATCTAAGGGTATAGATAATTTGGTTGTAAGTTAATATAGAAATGAACAATTATACAAACATGACTCGCAGTCCGCCAGATGGCGTTGTTAGTACAACGCCTCGATCACGAATGTTGTTTATTTGTCTGTTATTAACTTGACGGCCGAACAGATGCACTTGTATTTATTTAATTCGAATTTAAGATATGCTTTTTATCATTCCAGCATTAATTGTGGAAGATCTATGTTCAACAGTTAATCATAATTCCAACATTACACTTCCTTAGATAGACCCATAAAATACCTTGTTACATCAAAACGATCACGTCACTTCTAGAGTAAATTATCTCTGCGCGTGCGCACGGTTAGCGGGTAGCGGTTAGTAACCAGCGGGTAGCGACTACCAAGTTCATTCCGCGTAGTATTTACGTAGCGCTATTTATGGAAACGGCGCAAGCGTCCCCCGAACTGTAAGGTGAATGGAGCGGGAATATGAAGGATGTTGTATCTATAAATCTTACAGGAAAGCGGGTTTGATGTTGACGTAATGCGTTCACGTATCTTTGTTCATGGAAATTATTATGTAATTTTGTAGGGATTACTTATAGCTACATTTTCAAGTTTTCATGTTATTCTTTTGCTTGCAGGCTTGCGCGCCGCGCTATGTGTCCTTCGTGTCAGCTAAGCTGAACCAGCGAAATCCTGTCGGCTCTTGCTTCGTGGCTAAAACTCCTGACGCTGTTGACGTCACGGAATACTCACCATGCAGAAATTGTAAGTACGATAGTATTTATATAAACTACTGCCTTACTCCAGGTCGAAACCCTTAGTTTTATTTATGAGAAATCTACAAACGATACTGATTCATTTTCCTTGTTAAGGTAAATTAAAATGTATTTTGGTTACTGCCAAAAATATGTTTCTCTATAGAAAATGCTATAATTTTTTTTAGTTATTTATAATTCAACGCATTAGATTACACGCGTCAACCCAATTTTCCTGCCTCGTCTGCCATTACCGGCGGAAGTGAGCTAGGAATTTTCGCGCGCTTTTACAGCCGCCATTATACGACGCCCTCATGATCTTAATATTTTTATTTTTACTTTGAAATATAAAGTGCCTGGAAATACATTATTTTCAATTTTATAATTAACAATTAAAAAAAGTCATAAGAAGAAATTGTAAAATTTTATATGAATAGAATTATTTTATTGTCTCCGTTGAATTCGGCGACAATTTTAAAGTAAAAATTTCCTTTGTTATTCAATGTAACACCTATAATATATTTTCTTAATGTATGCCGGATGTAGTGACACTGTTGTTTTTACTACCACGTGTATTGACACATTTGTTATAGTATTCAAAATATTTCTTACATGTATTTACGTGTTGTTATTTGTCATGATGTTTTTAATGTACTTTGTGTTGTATATTCAGTTTGTTTTTTTGTTTAATATATTAAGACGAACGTTAAAGTGTTTTTATATTGTTACGTATATATATTTAGTTATTATGTAATCTGTTTAGGGCACCGTTCGCAGGACGAGGGTGAGTACACGGAGTATTATCAATGCATAATTCACTTGTACAGTGTAGCTGAACACATTTCTGTCATTGTAACAAATTATATGTTGCTGGAGTTACCTTTGTTAATTTAACATGTATAGTTTGATCGTAAAAAAAAATTTAATCGATTTTTTAGAAAAAGTATTAAGATGTACTGAGCGGAGTTAATCTTTCTTGCTTTGCGCTGAATTCTTAAATTGGTTGAATTATTTATTTTTAAATCAATTATTTACTACTTACACTAGTTACTCTCCAGCACCATATTACTTTTACATTGTAATTTTCGTTGTTAATTGATTTATATTTTTTTAATTGTATTCGTACATTGCTTTATGTGTATTATGTTTTTAGATATTTTTTATTTACTTTTATTATCAACGAAATGTCATTACAGTTTGCTAAATATATTCCACGCATATTCATACTCAAATTCAAAACAAAACGAATAAATATCATAAACAATTTAATCAAAAATTTAATTGTATAACATTTAAATAATTTACCTTAAATTCACAATATATATTATGTACTAGAAATACACAAATAATTATTTACGTGTGCAAATTGTCTATGACTTCAATTGGTACGTAAAATCTATTCATTGGACTTACCAAGTACGGTAGAGTACGTAAGCTATACGTTGTATGACGTCACAACACCATGTTTCATACGGTCTGACGCATTGACTGCATTTGTCACAACATTCTGTATGCACATTTGTGTTTAGTTTATGGGTGTCCACTCTCAACTGTCATATAGATGTCTCAGTTCCGTTCAATAGAGTAAGAGAGATGGCTATATGTAAATTCCTTTCTACTTACTAAAAATTTGATTTAATTCTGTTCATATTTTGTTTATTACAAATTAATCGTCATCTGTGATTTGTAACAATTTTGATAGAAACAATTACAAGTTCAAACAAACTTGCATGTTTTAGTATAAAATGTAATTATGTGTTTGTAGTTTATTATAAGCGTAGTTTAAGTGTTTATTTAATTTATGAAGAAGAGATAGCCAAAATCGAAGTTACAAATACATTTTATACAGAAAAATCTAGACTTATTTTAAAAAACTAATTATTAAGAAATACGAATCCCTTAGTAGGTGGACAGTCACAACAAAATCGAATTCATAACTCATAATTGTATTTTTTTTTATAAATACATTATACTTATAATAAATGTATATTTGCAGCGAGCCACGGGCAGCGCAAGACAGGCGTGTGCCAAGCCGGTTTCTCCGCTGCTTTGTCGAAGGTACGTATTTAAATGACATTCATTACGGTCTTTAACGATAACATCACCTACATAGTACTCTCAATTACTCGGACAATTTAACAGTTTATCTAAGTGTATAGTTAATAAACTTTATTTTTGTTTACCTTTGTATAATCTTCACGTGTCTCTTTTACCGTTTTCGAAAGCAATATTATGCAATTGTAAATAATAAAATGAGTCATTCCTACGTGCGTATGACATTAAATGTGAACATGTAACTATTTCGCAACGGTATCAACAATTAAGATTAAATGATAAAAAAACGACATACGTCTTTCTGTGGCAAGATAAATCAATAGCTGAACGCGAAGAGATAACGAATCTGAGATCTCGATCTCTTGGTAGCGACTAGCCAAAACGGTGAGCCCGAAGCGTATAGTTGGCAAACTTCTTAAAATATCTGTCAAAATGAATTGTATAAAAGAACTATAGCTTGTCTCAAATTATTTTAAACCTTTTATTAGATTAAATTATCGAGATGACGTAATTTAAACATTTTGTGGGAAATCTAAATATGTCAAAGAAAATACAAGGCAATATACAATGCGATGTCCAGTGATGTATTGGAGTAAGAGCTAAAAGTGATGGAATAAGCACACGGGTAAAATTAATATTGTTATGCGAATAGGCTCGTCAGTGCCTAAAGCATGTTTTGGTCTCCGAGTAGACTTTGTTTTTATGAAAAGGTAGTTCTCAAATCATTTTTTTTCTGTTTCCTTATAACATACCTTTGTGGATAATCTAGTAAATCATTGACAAAATGAATAATGAAATATCACTCAGATACATCCATCATAATTTAAGTGCAGTAATTCTGTTAATACAAGCTCTTCCGTTACTCGCAGCCACTGAACGGTACTGTACTGAATTAAAATTAAATTAAGGCCCCGTAAGATTAATACGACCCCAAAGTGGTTGGAGCTCGCTCACAGACAGGAGATAAATTTTAAAATGTCCGTGGCAAAGCGATAATAGCAGTTATGAGGGACTTTTGACGTTTTTATTGATAACTGAGTTGACACTGACGGAAAAAAATCTTTTTTTTTAATTTGCATTAATGAATTATAAAAAAATATTGCTCTTGGGATTTGCTTTTACAATCTCGGTAACAAAACACAAAAGATTTGACAAGAAAGTAAGTAAAAAACCTAGAGTGCCCATGTAAAACATCGTGATTTTACGAGCGTGGGAATAGCATTATTTTCGCGGTGTGGAATTATCAGTAAGCCGACATCCACGCACGTGATACGACTGCGCGCGGCCGCGGCTCGCAGCCTTATGAATTATTGAATACTTTTATTGTGGCAAGTGCAAAAAATAAGGCGGAACGATTTGCGGGGTCTATTCCGAAAATAGTAGTCAATATCGTCGATTGTCTTATTGCTGTTTTATGGTTGACTTTATTTGGTTTGCGCGCTGTCCTTTCTGAAATGTACTGTCGTAGAGTTTGCGCTACGTGCAAATTTAGATACGACTATTGCACTCGAATTACACTAAAATATTTTACGACATTTTTTTCGTAACATAAATTTCATTTTCAAGAGTTTATTATATACTTATAATTTCTTTTTTTTTCCTAATCGAGTTGTCGATTATTCTTAAACCTAATGATTTTAATGTCTGTACTAAACAGATCTAAAGTGAAAAAAAATTGTCATAATTTAGTTAAAGTTCAAACTCCAATGATATTAGTCATCGTTTACATTCAAGACACGGCTTCCTCTCCACGCTCTTTGGAAGATCTCACACTCTGATATACCGACACTGAGGTGTCACTAATAAACACAAAGGTCTAAACATTGCCACATTAATTATCGTGGTATTTTTGTTTAAGTATACGTATTTTTTGTAAAAAACTAACTCTTTTTTCTTTTAACAACTAAGAGCAGATTGACGCAAATGGTTAGAAAATAAAAAAAAACAATAGAGCATTTCACGGCGTTTTGGACAGGATTTGTCTACCTTGAATTAAGTGTACGTGATCACCTTACTAATCAGATGAGAGCAAAAAATTATAACGCACCACGATACACAAAAATCTCACAAAACATCTGGTATTCTTTGCACGTTTATTGTATACTAAATTTGTTCTAACGAATCCATACACTATATTTCACTCTATAAATAGATAAAATCTTAGTTTAAATGGAAAATAACTATATGAGATAGCTGTAAATGTATGCAATGGGATCATTTCTATTCATTCCTATAGTCTATGGCAAACAGTATTCTAATATTCACCGTATGAAATTATGTTAATGGTTTTTATTTACGCGTTGTGTATTGACTACTTTTACCGTTCGTCCTCCCTGATATTGAAATTAAATCTATTTACATTTGAATTAAGACAGTTGAAATGTTTATTTTGTAAAAAGAAACAAACAAAAACGTACCATTGGGTTCGGTTTCTTTGTGACATAAATGGTTGTAGTTTACATAAAGTAAAAAGTGTATTTTTATTTATTTGCAACCAATGTTCCTTTTCGCTATGCAAAATAAAATTCCTTGTCATCGCAAAGTCTTAAACATTCTTTGCGGAGTTACAAACATGGTTTCCGAACGCAACCGTAAACGTCCGCCATTTGCAGACAATGGCGTTGGCGAAAGCGACGCGAGCGCCCTCGCAAAATTCAAACAGAGACATTTAGGGATTTGTCCAAGTAATTGTTTTATTGTTGATGGCTTATGTATTGAATTACTAGCCTTTTACATTGTGTTATTTATTGTGATAAAATATTATTACGTTAAGGTAACTATAAAGTTTGACTTTTTACAAATGTGTTATTAAAATGAAATATTGTTTGGCGCACAATGCTGTTTATAGTTTTTGTAGAACAATACGTTAATAACAAAGTTAGGAGTATGCAAATGTAAGAACACATTGAAGGCTAAAATTTATGATCTGTTAATTGAATATTCAATCACTTTGGCAGTATTTCGTAGAACTTTAATTCTTTACTATTATTGCCGCGCACGCACCACACCTGCAGAAGTCATTTGATTTTATCAGAAATTTTATTAAGTTGATCATTGTTAACTATCGTATTTTTGAATCTTATAAGTAATTGAAATCTTATATATATTTTTAAATTCACACGTTTACAATACAATAAAAGAGAAAGCACTCTAAGATCGAGAACGCAAATAATTTTAAATCATTTATGCATGAATCTGATCTTAATTGAATATTTAAAAATATTCAATTCTAAAAACAGTTAAGCTTCTTATCTCTTGTAACATATAGCAATGTCACGTTCGTCGTGTTTCCTTATTTTCATTCAAAAGACTATTCGTAGAAGTGACTTTGCACATGAGTATGGTCGTAAAGGGAATAATGTCGCAATGAAAACGCAATTGTTACGACAATGTGCCGGTTACAGAGATCGTGGCCGTCGGTGATACAAGTGTTGAAATTTTCTCCTATATCTTTATTAGAAGGTAATTTAAACCATGACTGATGACTAAATCATTCTATAGGTCCAAAACGTGAAAGGCCACCTTAATAAAATTTCAGAATTATTTTTCAATTGAAAGTTCTTTACATTGGTTTACAGCAACGATCAAATTCAAATCTTACTTCTTACTAATATTATAAATGCGAAAGTTTAGATGGATGGATGGATGGATAGATGGATGTTTGTTAGTGTTTGTAGCCTAAACGGCTGAACGGATCTCTATGAAATTTGGCACAGGCTTAGAGCATAGTCTGGAAGAACACATAGACTACTTTTTATCCCGGGAATAGTTATGGTTCCCGTGGGATTCATTAATTTAGTTTTTTATTGTTTACTCGATCATTCCGCAACGGTTCAACATATCTTATTGAAATTTGGTACAGATATAAAACAAAGTCTGGAGTACACATGGGATAAGCTTCATCCCCGAGAAATGTCCGGTTCCCGAGGGATACGTAACTTTTTGTAATTTATATAGTTTGCATGTTTTCTCATACTACGCGGACGAAGTCGCGGGCAACAGCACGTAGGTAATTAATCTATGCTAGTTAAAAATATTCTAGCTCTATAAGTTAAAGAGGTGCGAATGTCAATTTATAATGCTAATCGCGTTTCGTCGACAGATTTCAAGAACACATTCGAGTTTTTTTGCTCTGTATATGGCGATACGACTTCGGGTCATATACATTAATTCATAGCCAGTGAGAGTCGGCATTACCATAAGGCTATGGGAGTTAGATGGTTTCTTTTTTTAATAGGAATTTTACACAGAATCTTTATAGTGCGGTCAATAGTCGGCTGTATGAATTTCATCTAACATGTAACGTTAAGTGTTTTGAAATCCGCATTTGTAGGGATTTTGAAGGGATGACTGAAAGTTACAGTCAATCAAAAAATAGATAACCACTAATGTTATCCAATCTTTGTATTTGTAATACAAAAAAACCCTTTTAGAAGTGTGTTCGTGGCGCAATACCTAAATATTTTAATCATGTAAGTAAATGGGCTTGAGTTAACAGCTGTAATCAGCTGTAAAAAATAGTCCCTTCAATAAAAAAGAAACACGTGTTGTGTGTATCTGAGGGGTGTGGGAGGGAGGGATGTTTTTATGGTCTTTGAGTGTCATCCGGAGCCGGGAATTATCTCTGGAGTTCACACGCACCGATTTGTTGACATGTCTGCTTTCTGTCTGACGATTGTTGCAACTAATTCATAAGCTGAAAGCGTTTCACGCGGATGCTTTTGTAGATACCTACGTGTACATTTTAACAAGATAAATATTCTTTTCGTAAGACACTTGCCATGTAATATGTTAAGTACATAATATTCAAAAATTAATCTAACAAAAAATGTATCCGCGTTCACTTATGCTTTAGGCCAAAGAAGTTTTCGAGTGCCACAGCCTGTTTACGATCCGCTAAAAACAATAAACAGTGCAACTAAGCAAAATTGTTATTTATTGATACTTACCCTTACTGTCAACAATTAACTGCGAACAAGAACAAATAAATACCCATTGTTTAATATTTAAAAAAGAAACAAACTACTTGAAAAAAAACTTGTGGCAAGTAAAACATGAACATAGATAATTAAAAATACATATGAATAATGTTTAACTTATAAAACAAAAAAAAAGGTCTCCAAGTCTCTAGAGAATCGTTAACAATTTGTACCAATAGATAGGGTTGTCACTCGGCACTTATCAATCGGCTGCAATTAGAGCGCAGGCCCTCAGCATTACCATAACTGACGCCATAAAACTATGACTCGTCCCAGAGTCATAAACTTCCTTATCGTGTTACCTCTTTTCAAACCCTACTTAGAAATGAGACTGTACGAGTTATTTCTTGTCATATGCATGCGTTGTTTTGTATTAAAGGTTATTTATCTTTAAAAAATAACATACGCTGATGTTTATTTTCAATGTATTGAAAATATAATAATTAAATTTGATATTTTCAGGATGGCGAAAGACTGTTTATGGGAGCGCCTGGTACATTTTATTGGCAAGGTAAGCTAGCAATTAAAAACATCTAAAAGACGCCAAATCTTTAGACAGTTGACCAAATCTTTAGACAGTTTTAGTTACTATAAGGTTTCGCGTCTTTTGAAGAGTTATTGTTTATATTTATTTTGTTATATATTGTGTAGATAAATGAAAATTGAAATGCTAATAACCATCCACAGGAAGAACGATTTCAATAGACACTAGCGCAAGGTTCGACTACTTTATGCCGAAGGAAGGTAAAGAGAAACGTCCTCGACGACCTCTCCATATAACTCTTAACCTAAATAACATAGCGACAGGCTTACATACGCCTAATCCTTCGAAATAAATCCGATACATTTTTCAGAATTTTCAACCAACATTTCTATGACTTTGAGCACCTAAACAAAGATCTTATGTCTATAAGATATATGAATCAAATTTAATTAATATTAAGTGGTCTGGATTCTCTTCTAATCAGTATTTAAAAATAAAAAAAATCTTAACATAAAACGTCCACCATAATGATGAGTCTTCCAATTTAACACGCCAACGTCGCTTTGAGCTCAAAGTTCACAGAAACAATGTTGAAATTCCATCCATTGACATTCATGTCAAATCATCAATCATTTGGCATAAATTTATGCCAGAACAAAGCTTCGACTAACGTGAAATAAGCCGTCCCATATCGACTATCCATACCCATACATAAAACATTCAGATATATAGACCATGGTGTAAATGCACGAACTTCACAATCATGGCCTGTCCATACGATTTGTGCTAACTCGATGTTTAAATAATGAACAAGGTTTTCTGGACGTAGATCCCGGGAGAAATATAAATGTGTTAGATAAACTAATTTTACCATAATCAGAAAAATGCTACGCTTCAACAAGGCTTTGTGGTGAACAGCAAAATGAAGATACAAGGGTCTTAATTTAGCCGGATATCCGAGGGGTGGCACAAAATCGAAAATAGAATGCTTTCGTTGTTCATTAACAGCTAACGACTTTTTGAGTTCATCACGAGTGCTTTGAACTTTCGTTTGGTTTTAGCTAATGATTAATTTAAATTATCGCTTTACTATTTTTGATTGTGTTCCTCCTTTCGACAGAACTATAAGGGAATTTGATAATTTTGAACGATATGTGTAAATTTATTTACGCCACCATTTTACTGAAATCTAATTCTGAACCCATTATTACCATTACGTATTTTATGATGGGTTTTATTGGTTTGATTAACGCTTCAAATAAACGGGGGCCCACGCTTTTGACTAATTAGTAAAGAATTTAAACCATAATTGGCTTTTAACAAGGAATTTGGTAAAATGTAATACCATAAGAGGAGATTATAATCTTAAAATTTTTACGGATTTATTGAAAAAAAAAATGTTTAGATAATAACCGAAATTCGATACTTGTAAATAATTAAAATCATAATCATATATATGTTGTATAAGAACAATATTAAAATTGTATGAACAAAATTATTTATTTTGTCGTACTTGTATTAAAAAAATCATTGCATAACTTTATTGAAACATAAAAAATATTTAACATATGAATTACATTTTAAATTCCAAGTATAGCTTTGTCTATCCAGGTCAACTCAAAGTGCAGATGATCAATGGCAAGAGGAGTCTCATCGCTACAGAAGAGGCCAGCTCTAGTTACGACGACTCGTACATGGGCTACTCTGTGACTGTGGGAGATTTCGCGGCACAGGGCGAGCAAGCAGTAGCCGTAGGTGTACCTAGGGGGGCAGATTTAAAGGGATTGGTCAGTAGACTACGACAAATTTTTTGGCCTTTGTGACGTCACGACATAACCTCATTTACAAAAGTGATGGATTTTGTGTCTCTTGTTTAGGTTGTACTCTACACGTGGGATTTAGTGAACATCAAGAACATCACGGGTTCACAAATCGGCGCTTACTTCGGCTACTGCCTGGCCACGGGCGACATCGATGGTGACGGCACTGATGACGTCATCGTCGGCGCTCCCATGTTCACTAAGCCTAAGTCCAGTGGCTACGAGCACGGGAGAATCTACGTCATCTATCAAGGAAAGGATCGGGTAAGAGATCGTTTTCTGTTTTCAAAATCTCTAATAAAACTACAAACGATTCGGTTCTTCTTATTATGCTGTGATATATTATTTTCTATTTTATTTTCTTTACAGTTATTTGTAAAGAATCACGCGCGTACTGGAGAAGTATCGAGGGGCAGGTTTGGATTGGCCATCACATCGCTTGGAGATATTAACTACGATGGATTCGGAGGTATGTGCCTTTTTGTTATACATTGATCTACTCTTTCATTCTCTCAAAATTCAACATGAAAAGACGAAATTAATATTTCTTCGGAAATTACATTCAGTTAAGATTATCTTCTTACTAATATCATAAATGCGAAGGTTTAGACGGATGAATAGATGTTTGTTAGAATTTGTAGCGTAAACGGGTTTCTATAAACTTTGGCATAGATGTAGGGCATAGTCTGGAAAACACATAGGCTACTCACTTTTGATTTTTTTGATTCCATGTGAACGGAGTCGCGGTCGCAAGCTAGTTCTCTATAATTCTTTCCTTATTGCAGACATAGCTGTGGGCGCGCCGTACGGCGGCGAGAACGGCAAGGGCGTGGTGTACATCTACCACGGCGGGGAGGACGGTATCGCAGAGAAGTACTCGCAGGCGATCACCGCCGAGGAGATCAGCCCCTCTCTAACCACCTTCGGCTTCTCGCTCTCCGGCGGAGTGGACCTCGATGACAATCACTACACAGATCTCGCCGTTGGTGCTTACAAATCTGACAGCGTTGTGTTCCTGAAGTAAGTACTGTGATATCCACGTTTAGTGACCTCTACAACATTTTTAAATACTCGAAAAAGTTCACAAAAAATCTTCTAGAATAGAATAGAAGCGAAGCAGACGCGTAACATCATCATAATAAGAGACGGTTGTAATCATTAAGTTTAATGTGAAAACGAAAATGCATATAAAACACTTGATTTGTTTTATAACCTTTGTCCCCAGATTCCGGATTATTCCCAACCGTCACCCCGCTCTGTCCCCACGTCTAGACAAATGAGAATAAAAAGTTTCATTCGTCCCATGTTTTGCGACGAGGGGACGGTTGGAACTTTTTTTATTTCATCTATCACATTATTGGTGATAGTGGGACTAAAACTTAAGACGGATGAAACTTTTTATTCTTACGTGGGGACAAAGCGAAGTGACGGTTGGGAATAATCCCAGATCTCGACAACTAGTGAAGGTGATGGCAGCTGTATATAAAATACTTGGTTTATTTGGAACTTTTGTCCCTAGGTCCCGACCCGTGGTGAAGGTGATGGCAGCTGTGAAGTTCACGGGCACCACGAAGCTGATCTCCATGACCGAGAAGAACTGCCGGCTGTCGAACGGCACGCAGGTCTCCTGCGCACATCTCATGTACTGCCTCTCTTACAACGGGATCAATGTCGACCAGCAAATAAGTAATTAACATATCTTACTTATATTATAAATGCGAAAGTTTAGACGGATGTTTGTTAGAGTTTATAGCCAAAACTGCTGAACGCAAACTTCTATGGCAAATTTTTGCCATAGAAGTACAGGTTAGTCTGGAAGAACAAATAGGCTACTCGTATTTGTTTTTTTTTAATTCCACGCGGATGGAGTCGTGTGCGAAACCTAGTTCTATGAAGTTAATTCCGGAACCACAAAAACTTTTCAATTATTTAAATATTCACCAGCATATTAAGAAAGATTTACATTGCATTTAATTTTTAAAATTTTCTCAAAGTGTGTAATTGGTAATTCTCTTTTCCAAGCGGAAGGATATATCTGTTACTTCGGTGAGTGGTACAGACAGTAGTACATAGTCTACGTTACTACTACAATGTTCATTCCCTTAGGGAACCGTTAGATAAGTTGTAAATAGGATGTCAACCCACCAACCACTCTTTAGCTACACTTCAATGTTTAATTGGCTGTTAGTATCATCGTTGTTTCGTAGTTTTATGTGCTTTTAGTTGTTTTCCAAATCACAAGATGTTATCGATACTAGAAAAGAGGCATCTCAAATGAAATACATCTAAATGTAAATACAGAGAATGTGAGACACTAAGGGCCTGTCCCACCAAATTGTGAACCGTATGATAACAATCCATATGTAAAAAATGTGATGGAAATATCGGATTTGGTTCCCGTATCCGACAGTGATGTAATTTTTAAGCCATCTGAAGCTCTATCAGCCAATGGTGGGACAGGCCCTAAGCTTTGTAGATATTTATCGTTGTAAATAGTGTATTTAATATCGACGTGTGCAGATTTCGAGGTGACGCTGGAGCTGGACTCGCGGCAGAAGAGCAGCAAGCGCATGTTCGTGTTCGACACGCGCCAGACCACCTTTACCACGCACATCCTGCTCACCAAGGGACAGGAGGAGTGTCGCGAGATGGAGGTCTACCTGGACGTGAGTATATTAACAAAAAATATTTTACATATCCATAAAGCAGTATCAAAAAGAATAAAAAACCTGTAAAATCTCTATGTACTGACTTGTTAACTGGTTTAGGTATGACATACTAAGGAATAGAGTGAATTGGAGTAATTTCTCTCCTGTTTATATTTTTATTGGTAACCGACGACTGTTTTCAACCTAATGTATAAAATTGCCATATTAGATATATTGATGCGCGCAATTCATATATCCAAATAGCTTACAAATAATTGTAAGCGAGGGTTTCTTTATGATTTACTAGCTTTTGACCGCGTCTCCGTCCGCGTGGAATTAAAATAATGTAGGTAGCCTATGTTCTTACGGACGTTAGTTATAAATGTGGAGGTACACCGGTAGAGGTAGACATAGAAAGAGATGGATGGATTGCGTGAAAGGTGACATGATCAAGAAGGGAGTGACTGAGATGATGGATGATAGAGTGCTTTTGAGGACGAAAACCCGGCGCGCTGACCCTACGGGAGTAGGATAAGGCAGGGAAGATGATACCTATATAGCCTATGTTCTTCCAGAGTATGTTCTACATCTGTCAATTTCATCCAGATCCGTTTAGCAGTTTATGTTACAAACTAACATCCATCCATCTAAACTTACGCATTTATAATATTAGTGAAATTAATTTTTTAACATTATATGGCTATCTTTATTCCAGGAGGAGATCCGCGACAAGCTGAGCCCCATCGAGGTGAAGATGAGCTACGAGCTGGTGACGCAGCCGTCGGGCGAGGTGGTGCCGCCCGTGCTGGACCGCACCAAGAGCAGCGCGCACACAGACTCCCTCAACATACAGAAGAACTGCGGCCCCGACAACGTCTGCGTGCCCGACCTCAGCATGGCCGCTTCCACGTAAGATTGTTGCAACTACACCCTAGACATAAAAATATATAGACGAAACAGTGAGCTAAATTTTTTCACTCGTACTTTCTCTGAAAGATCAAGTTTAGTGCCATCTCGGGTGTATTGACATGTAATAAAACTTTTACAAAATCATAATAAGCTCCATCTTTTGTTATAAAAAACAAATCAGTGTTACAGAATGAAATGTAGCCATTTTAATAACATTTAATTTATCTATTACTAACGTTCGCCCGCGATTCCGTCCGCGTGGTATTAAAAAAAACAAAACCAAATAGCCTATGTGTTCTTCTAGACTATCCTCTATCTGTATGCAAAATTTCATTGAGAGCCGTCCATCAGTTTAGGCTACAAAGTCTTAACAAACATCCATCTATCCATTCATCCGTCCATCCATCCATCTAAACTTTCACATTTATAATATTAGTATGATTATTCTATTGACAATTAATTATATTAATTATATTACGTGTGGATTTGAGACTATCAATAGATACAGTTAGTGAGATTATGTAAAAAATGTTTCAAGTATAGTGTCAACACTGCCTCCTTTATATACAGGGTGTCTGGGAAACGCGCACAATGGACTACTTCAGATTCCTTTGTTGAAAATACTCTTTCTCGGACACCCTGTATTTTTTAATTTCAAACTAGATTCTTGTTAGACGTCTTTATATTTTATACCGATGTTACATTTGATAAGAACGTTACATTCGACAGTGAACAAACAAACTTCGTGCTGGGCACGGGAGAGAATTTAAACATCGACGTGAAGATCTACAACTACGCGGAGGACGCGTACGAGGCGGCGTACTACCTGCAGCTGCCCGCCGGCGTCAACTACACGCGCATGCAGCGCCTCGACAACGACACCG